TGGATTTGGTTGATATCTGCGGGATTGATGGGCGAAGCGAGGAAGCGCAATGTCATGAAGTTGCTATGCGGTGGCGAGATGGAATGACCGTGGAGGGAGAGCACAGCGGGAGGCTCTCCATATTCGGAGAAGGTGAGGGCTTTGGCTTGCTCGTAGCCGTATGCGGAGATGTAGCGGCGCTGCGGAAGTCGCGATACGGCCGGGGCTAGGTGTCGTGTGCGGCGCAGACATGACTGCGCTAATCGCGGAGACGGCGATATAAGTTTGGTAGCCATTGTGAGTGGCGTTGACACTACGGAAGTGATGTGAGTTGGAAGTCTGCGGAGCTCATGGAAGATGTTTTGGAAAGACGGAGCTATGACGTTTGCTGAAGCCGAGGTTTGGTGGAGCAATGGAGCTCATAACACGCATCACTTTCGACACAGTACGTACAGTGCATGTCTGTAACAATTCTTGATGCGCGAAGTTTTTGACGGGATGAGTTCACATTCTACATGCTAAGGTAGCGCGGGTTTCGAGTCTCGCCTTCAGCCCAAGTCTCTAAATGCCAGATGGTGCTTTGATCCACTGTTTCTCATGAGCTCGCAAGAATCCTCGCATCAGGCAATGGGCAACGATGCGCCACAGCCTGCGCCATAAACTACGTACGAAGAAGCAATGGTAGACATTCACATGCAAGACGGCCCAAGAGGCGCTTCGTGAAGGTTCCCGCCAGCTGTGGGCATCTAGACGCCACTAGCACCGCCCCGCGTACGTCATCGGCCATGCGTGTTGCTAGGCTGCGCCCTCCTTGAACTGGCAGGTTGCTGCATACCCCTATTGCTACAAATAGACCCTTTCGCCAACACACCCTGTCCACTGCATCACTCAAAGACTCACAGCACCCCTCAACCACTATACCACTACATTCAAAACCCTTCCAAAACACCTCACACACATATCAACATGGCTGCCACCGTCAACGTCGAGAACATCTCCACCAAGACCAGCGAGGATGAGATCAAGAGCTTCTTCTCCTTCTGCGGAAAGATCCAGTCGCTCAGCGTAAAGCCCTCAGGCGACGACACCCAGTCTGCCTCGGTCACCTTCGAGAAGGCCGCCGCCGCAAAGACCGCCCTCCTCCTCGACAACACACAGCTCGGCCACAACTCGGTCCAGGTCACGTCCGCTAAGAGCATCGACGAGATTGCCGGCGAGAAGTCTGCCTCCGCCGACGACGCCAAGGACGGCGACCACCACATTGAGCAGGAGCAGAAGCCCCGCGCACGTATCATCGCCGAGTACCTCGCCCACGGCTATGCCATCTCCGACACGGCCATCGAGAAGGCCCTCGCCGCAGACAAGCAGAACGGCTACAGCACCAAGTTCATGAACGTCCTCAACAACTTCGACCAGAAGACTCAGGCTACACAGAAGGCGCAGGTCGTTGACCAGAAGTTGGGCATAACAAACAAGGGCTACGCTGCCTTCAACATGATGACCAGCTACTTCGACAAGGCTGCTTCCACACCCACCGGACAGAAGCTCCGTGCTTTCTACGAGCAGGGTAACAAGACCGTCATGGATGTCCACAACGAGGCTAGGCATTTGGCCGATCTTAAGAAGCAGAAGCCTGCCAGCGAGGGTGGTGTCGCTACTGAGAGCAGCGAGAAGCCCGCCGAGGGTAGCAACGAGAAGAGCGGCGATTCCTACGCCGCCGCTGCTGCCCCTACTTCCTAGATACGAACACCTCAAGTGCTCACGACGGAGGACTGGAACGACATTTCTTTCGATTCAACGATTCCCACTTGGTTTACAGTCTGTATGAATACTTGCGCATGATACCGATGACGGCACGAGCACGGAGTTTGGAATAACATGGTTTAGCAACCTACGAAAACACAATTCTATCTAGTAACCATTGATCTTGAACCCTGTATTGTCGCGTAATGATGGTGCTCTATTACGATCTTGTCTCGAACAACGATATAAACAAGCATGCAGAAAACAAAAAACACCAAAGCCAATGTTCCTCCTATCCCTCTAATATCCCCACTCTCCACTGTCCAACAAGCTCTGGCTAGCCACAAAGCTGAAGCCACCAAAAGGATTGCTAGAAGCCTGACTCTCGAACATCAAGTCGTCAAACTTCTTCGTCAGAACAGGGCTGAGTGGCAGATCGGTAAAGTCTTGGGCAAAGTTCTCTGCCAACTCCGGATCCGTAATGAGTGGCTGGATCGGCGGCTCCAACTCCCTCGCTTCCAACTTCTTCCAATCGATCTTGCGGAAGAACCGGTGTTTCTTGATGTTCGGCAGGTCCTTGGCCATGTTGAAGCCTAGGCGCTTCTTGGGGTCTTTGCGGAGGAGGCGAGTGAGGAGGTCCTTGGCGTCGGCGCTGAGGTAATATGGCAGTGCGAGCTTCTGCTTGACGATCTTTTCCTGGATCTTGGCGTTGTTGTTGCCAGTGAAGGGAGGAGCGCCAGTGAGAAGATCGAAGCCGAGTGCGCCTAGGGACCACCAGTCGACTGCCGCGCCGTACTCGTGGCCCTGAACAACCTCTGGAGCCATGTATTCTACGGTACCGAGGATCGAGCGGCAGGGGCTGTCTTCGTCAAGACTGACTTTGCTGAGGCCGAAGTCGGTAAGGAGCAGGTGGCCCTCGGAGTCCAGAAGGCAGTTCTCAGGCTTTAGGTCGCGGTAGATGACGCCGACTGTGCGGTGAAGGTGGTCAAGCGCAAGTACCATTTCAGCCATGTAGAAGGCGGCTACGTCCTCGGAGAACATGCGCTCAGCAGCGAGGTGGTGGAACAGCTCGCCGCCTTGGGCATACTCCAGAATGAGGTACAGCTTCTCCTGATCCTGGAAGGCATAGTAGAAGTTGACGATAAAGGGGTGGCGGTTCACGCTCTCGAGCACGTTGCGCTCCGTCTTGGTCTGCTCGATGAGCTTCTTATGCACGGTGATTGACGCCTTCTTGAACTGCTTCTGCGCGAAAAGGCGGCCTGTCGCGCGCTGCCTGACCAGCAAGACGGTGCCATAGCTGCCCTTGCCCAGACACATCAATGGCTCAAAGTCCTCGGCCGTCATCTTGCGCGCCATGCCGCTGTTCAGCATGGTCGAAGTCTTGGAGAGCGTGTCGATGCTGAAGTCTTCTGCGTTGAGGTCGATTTCGTAGCTCTCCATTTCCGTACGGTCACTGTCACTTTCGCGGCCAGACATGCTGGTGTTGCTCGACAACTGCGATGTGACCCTGCTCATAGCGACACCCTTTCCTGGGGAATCCTTCATGGGTGAGTCGCTCCTTGGGCCCAGGTTCAGCGCCTCTAGCTGGGCTTTGAGGTTGCTGATGCCTCCCGCAGTGGACTGGGGTCTAAGCGCTGGGCTGCTGGTGACGCTGGGAAGTCCAGAGCGCACAGGTCCGAAGCGCGGTGTAGTGGCCAGAGAGTAGTCCGACTCTTCCCCACCAGACGTGACTGGAGTGTGAAAACCCCGGGTGACGCTTGTAGCTTGTAGTCCTGCTTTCAGACCCTTCTTTTTCTTCTTCTTGTTCTTCTGGGCCTTCTTGAAAACGGCATCGAAATCCAATTTGTCAGGTCCCTGCTGCTTGGCTTCGGGGCCGGGCTGCACTGCGCGCTGTGGCATAGGGCTGACGATGTTGATCGGCGGGGTTCCTACGTGGAGGGGCGCTTTGGGCGGGCTCATGTCCATGGGTCCCGAAGCGAACATGTCGTCTTCGGGCATGGCAGGCTCGGGTTTTCGCGGCGCGTTGGCCGGAAGTTGGGCATCGTTCTGGTCGAATGCGAAAACCATGGTAACGGTAGTGAGGGGTAATGCGATAAAGAGTTGTCACTCTTTAAGTTGCGCCCGTATTCTGCTCAAGTCAGCATTTGCGCACGCTTCGGAGAGGAGCTCGCGCACATCCAACGCCTGTCTTGGGCAAACCAATATTACAGTCCGCCGCGAGGATTCACGGCGGAACTCCTACCCCTAGCCGGACCAGCGATGCGAAGGAGGCGTCCGTCTTGTTCAGGCCTGAGCTCAGTGCGGTGTAGGGGAAGAAGGAGCCAACTGCGGTAAGCTGAGCGGTGGGTAGGAAAGCGGTCGCGGCGAAGGAAGCAGAGCCCATAGATGGTTGTAGTGGAATATTGGGAATGGTAATGGTCGAAGCCAGGATTCGGAGCCTGGCAGTAAATCTGTCTAGTGGAAGTGTCGCGGTGTTGGGAGAAGTCGTGTTTGAAGGGGTTTTGGAAGAAAGGAACGCGATCAGCGGGAAAGGCTCAATCGCCAGCTTCTTAATTTGGTGCCTTGGCGGGCTCGCGGTGGCATGTGAATGAGCTTGCGCTTAACTGGTCATCCGCCCCAGATCCACCTCCACACAAACTCGGAGATCCACCCCGTGCTTTCATTTACATCATATTTGCATGTCTTGCTAATGTCATGCGCTTGCGTCGCTGATGCGATCGTGTTGATGCCGTTCGCTGCCACGCGCGCTGGCACTGAAACTGCGATCGCGTCTCACTCGACAAAGACAGCGCGACGCTGATCCAACGCGACTCTCTTCGCGAACGAGTCTACGTGGCAAGGGTATCTATTCGCTGCTGTGAAGTAACTCCGACTATGATTATCGCGAAATGAAGCTACCAGCAGTAGCCCTGAGTGAGAGCTAGCGTGTTCCTCCTTTGTCAAACGTGCCTATAGAACAACAAAGCGCGACGCTTGACGGATAGGGGGCGCCACGAGACGTACACGAACTTGAACTGCTATATCTCGCGCCCATCGCCCTGCTTAGTAGAAAGACTCATTCGCGCCCCTCAGGTGTTGCCTCTTTCTGAAATATGTGACTTCCCCACCCGAAGCTAAGCGAGTGGGACTGCTGTGGGTTTTGTGTTCCGACATCCGTCACAAAGAAAGGGCACAACTACAACTACTACTGCGTCTATTCCAGTCCATTGACCTCATTAGAAAGAACGCACAAGAAAACGCCCATCATATACTTTTCAATTTCAGAATTTTTCATCGTCGCCTTCCTAGCTCAGTGGTAGAGCGCGTCACTAGTAACGCTAGTCTCAATATGGGCTGCGCTAGTCCCAATCAGGACGTCACGTGATGACGAGGTCGTCAGTTCAATTCTGGCGGAAGGCAATAGCCCTCTCTTGCAAGAGCATATCTTTCTTTTTTTGGTTGCTGAGCGTCTATTGTAGCCTCATTGTTTCTATTCTGTGGTTTTCCCGCTCACTGGGCTTCGGGAACATGTCACGGATCGAACCCACGTTCTGTCGTCTGATTGGAGCTAGCGTCACACTAGCTCCCGGCCCGTGCGGGAACATCAAAACTTCAGCCCGCAAGCGATTAATCGTTCGACAACGTAGTATCTCACAAGTAATGCAATCTCAACGCATATTTCCACCCGTTACAAACAGGCGACCGTAGCATCACGGGACTCGCACTTATGATTCAGCTGCCTTCGCTACGACACTGAACACACCCATTGAATTTCAAGATGAACAACCTAACAGACACCCGGTGGGCTTCAGAACATGTTTGAAAGCTAGTAGCCTGCAGCTAGATCTATCACCTGTTTTTACAGCTTTCAATGTCACAGTCTTAAAGTTCCAGTTCAAGAGTCCGGGTAGGGCACTTCCTAACCGATTCAGTCAACGGTAAAAAGCTCGCGAAACAACATCTGTTCCCAAGGTTATCAACCTCTTTTCCCTCTCCTCACTGCAAATGGCCTGTCCCCATCGCGACATCAAGCCGAGCAACAATAATTATGAACTACAACGGTAAATCTTACACAATTCACGACCAGCCCTTGGAAAGTTTAGTTATGCTGACAATACGCAGATATCCTCATCTCAACTCTTGTATTGTAGACGTGTAAGCTCAAAGTGGGACTGACTACCTATTCTCTAGCGATAGTGACTCAATCCTGATCTTCTTCCTCCTCCTCGCCGACCTCGGCCACCACTGGCATCCGTCTTCGCGCCTTCGGCTTGTCCGCCCCCTCGTATTCCTCCTCGTCCTCACCGTCGCCCTCGATCACCACTGGCATCTGTCTTCGTCCATTCGGCTTGTCCTACTTCTCGCCTTCTTCTTCCTTGTCACCCACCTCGCGGTGGGGACTCTTGGCAGACGGAGGCTTGCCCTTGACAAGATTGACGTTCTTCCTTGCCTCGATCGATACGTTCATCGCTGTCTTCAACTTCTCCCCTCGTTCGATGGGCCAGGTTGCCAGAATGTCTTCACTGGTAGCAAGCAAGACCTCTCTCGCTATCCCCAGCTTGCTGAGATGGGGGTACTTCTCAATGTACTTCATGCCAAAGCCTCCCAGCTCTATCCTCTCCGTTTGGTTGAAGTCCACCGGATATATCATGGAATCGGAAGGGGGCGAAGGGAAGGATGAAGTCCATTTGGCCAAGGCGCGGTTTACTTCGTTCGACAGGACATCCACCTCGGCCATAACTGCTGCCTCGTCTAAACTCGTGTCTTCCGGCTCTTTGTCTGGCACAGCCAACGTATCTCCGGCGTCTCCGCGGTCCACGACGACCGTGAAATGTAAGCAGGCAAGGAATGAGCTGAAGCAGACTGGGGAAGTGACCGGACGTGTGCGAATTGCAGCAGCCAACCGACCAAGATTGTCGAGATAACTGTGCGTTGCGATGATAGAGTCGCGAGCGGAGATGAGAGTGGATATCGGGTCGACCAGCGGCCAAAGTATGCTCGATAGATCTCCGTTCTCAGGCTTCCGCGCTGCGACAGCGCTCAGCGGAGATCCTAAAGCGTCGAGGCAGGTTATTGTGGATGTTGATAGCTGCACCCTATCAGCCACAAAGAGACGCGACAGCATGCTTGACATCATGTCTTGGGTATTGTCGGTGCTCTTGTCGCCAACCGCCTCGCTCTCTCCGGCTTGCGGTGTACACTCCTCACGCTTCGGTGCTGCTGACTGTGGCACTTCGGTGTCTTCGATGCTCTTGTAGTCCATCTCTCCGTCGTCTCCTGCTTGCTGTTCACGCTTCACGCGCTTCGGTGCTGCTAGCTGTGGCACTTCGGTGTCTTCGATGCTCTTGTAATCCATCTCTCCGTCGTCTCCTGTTTGCTGTTCACGCTTCACGCGCTTCGGTGCCGCTGACTGTTGCGCCGTTGCTGGGCGCTTTGCTGAAGGTGTTGTAGCTGTGTTCATTACGGGCAACTCGGCGGACTGCAAGGAGGTCAGTTAGCGGACGACGAGTAGATGCAGCGATAGAAGATCATACCCTTAGGAGGTACTCGTGATACCGGCTCTTCAGCTCAGGTTTGCTCCCAGTCAGCCGTACCCGGTCCTTGAACTTAGGAATAGTGGCATTCAACTGAACAAGAAAAAGCTTCATGTTGTCCCTGGTCGCCAGGGCATCGAAGGCTGCGAGTTTCTCCTTGATGTCATCGCCGCTGCGCTCGAGCGCCTCGTTGACCGCCATAGCTTCGGAGTGGAAGCAGGCTAGTGAAGCACTGAGCCAGCGAGGTGTTTCCAGACGCGATACGTATTGTCTAGGCGGCGCAGCTGGGCATTCGCAAATGCAATTAGAAAATGGACGCAACGCGGGTGAGTATTAGTAGAAGCGAAGGAGCGAATGGGCGCGGCGAAAACGACTGTCAGACATGAAGCGGAAAGACAGAGTATATGAAAGGAGGCGGACGAAGATTGACAGAGGAGAAGCGAAGAGGAAGCAGATGCCGCGAGGTGAGATAGATTGTGGTGCGTCGCACCTTCCCAACCCACGCGCCAAGCAAACCTCACCTACCCAAACACTGCACTCACCATTCTTCACCGCCAGTCCTCCGCAGCCTTCGTCCTCGGCTTCTCAGCGTGCCACTCTCCTCATTAACCATCAAGATATGCGCGAGCAAGCGTCTCGAAAGCTTGACGCAGTACTTATTGTCAGCGTCATGTTCTATAAGCGCTATACACTGAAGACCTCCACCCCACACATCCTGTTCGCTCTTTCCAACCAGACCTCCGCAGCCTTGATTCTCACATTCGTAACGCTCACTCTCCTCATCAACCAACGGCATCCGCGCTACTACGCCTCCTAGTCCGACCTCCACAGCCACAACCCTCACCTTCTCAACGCTCGGAGGTATCCGTTCCGCGGACAGCAACTGCGCCACCAAGCTCCCATTAGCCCGAAGCAGAGGTCATCATCGGCGTCGTATTCTCCACGCGCTGGATACCAAAGACCTCGATCCCACACATCCTACTCAGTCCATACAAACGAGCAGAACGCGATGTCTCTGCCTCTACCACCTAAGCACCCTTCCGCCAAGATGGCCGCGTAGATGGCTGCACTGAGCAACGCGCAAAAGGAGTAGCTCAAAGTTGGTTCGAAACGCTCCCGCTTCTATGACAGCTCGGCTCCCGGTACAATTGCCCAACGAGCGCAAGCTCGCAGTAACTTCCAGGAATATTGCAAGAGTGTCTACGGGATCGAAAAGGAGCCTAAGATGTACAGTCGTGAGACCCTCATCGACCACGTCTGCGGCTTCCTGGAGTGCATGGCGACGGTCTCGGAAGGGGTACTCCATGACAAGGTCAAGGCAAGTTTCATCCAAATCTCCATGGTAAACAGATACTAACACCTCCCAGGTGGGTACATTGTATATGTACAAGTATTCGCTTCGGTTCTGGGTTGATCGATACACGCTCGACTTCGAATCGATTCAGACGGAATACGATTGCCGAGTATTAAGGCATATCCACATGGTAGCCGTGGAGCAAGACTTGCCAACAGGAAGTAGGGAGAAGAACGAGCTAGGCGGGTCCGAGCTCGGATTGATGTACATGGAGGCCATGGCTCTTCAGGAGGGGGTCCTCCAGACAAAGCAACATTACCTCGCGTGGGTCCTTGCCTATATTACCGGGGCCCGACCCGGCAACTTCACAGTTGGAACCGGCTATCATAAAGGCGCCCCGCTAGGTGGTGCCATGAGCCACACCATGCCCACGCGCGCCGTTTCCCAAACATTACGCTGGGCTGACATCAAGTTTGAAAAGTTCGAACAGGAATACTGCTGTATTCTGACGTTCTGCTTTTTTAAAGGAAGCCACGACAAGTACAAAGAGGATAACTTGGACGGGTCAAGGGAGTTCTTTTTCGCGCTGAAGCAAGAACGCCTACATCTCGACCTTAGTGCGCTCTTATTTGGTGAAGGTAAGGCGTGGATGTTCGGGACTCAAACTCATACACTGACATCCCATAGCTTATACCCGAGGCTTGTTTGTCGACCCGTTGGACGTTCTCCTCAGCGACACGTCCCCTCGTTTCCCCACGATCAGATTGGAAGTGGCAACACAGGCTGTGTTCCTTGCGGCGAACACAGAATATGAGCTTATTCCCACTCAAGAGATGAAAGACAATGCACTCAACCGAAAGCTCCAAGACTTCTGTCTGTCGGTCGGTATTCTCTGTTATGTTTCTATGTATTCATTCAGAAGGCAAGCAGCTCAGGAAGCAAAGAGGGACCACTCTACCGAGGACGCCATGGCGCTGCTCGACCACGCCCCAAACAACCCAAATACCCTGCGCTACTACAACCAGCATGGATTTGGTCGACGAGATGTAACTTCGTTCAGACTGGGGGGTGCAGCACTCACGGACTCATCGATTCGAAAGTTTTTCTCCCCGTCTAACAGACTGGTAAGTACTTACTCTTTCCAGTTGCTTCTGCCTACTCACGAGAACCCTCTCGCACACACAAGATGTTTACTAATCTTGTAGCACTGCAGTGGGTCAAGGACACATCGTCAGGATGACCAGGCAGATCACTAAAAGCAGAGCTTTACGCTCGCGCACTCCAGATCATCACCTCAGACCCGAAATACAAGAAACTCGAGGCCGGACTTCACGACATCCTAATCAAAGCCCACACCAAGCTCCAAGAGTTCAACCTCCTCTCGCCCGACGAAGAATACTGCATCACGGACCGTAACATCGGAAAGTACAAGGCACTGATGATGGGTATCGAGGAGCCGGCATTCATGGAGATAAGGCAAGAGTTGGACGAGCACTTAGCGCCGTGGAAATTTGCCCGCATGGCTGTCACACAACGCACCAATGAAGCCTGCCGCAAGAGCATCGAGGGCAAGTCGGCGGAGAGAAAGGATGGGGCAGTATGTGAACGAGATGGGCATTAAAGTAGCAGAAGATGACGAATACGTGGAAGTCGTCATCGAGCTCGTCGTCGGCTGGCAATGCACGGATCAATCTGTACGAGCACCTCATTTAAGAAAAGCGCTAAACAGGTCTGCAGACTACATCCCGACAAAAACTTGCAAAGTAGGTGACCTGACCTCAACGTAGGCTCCAGGGTGTTCAGCTTTTCTTAGGTTGGCGTGCGAGGGAGGGCCGTGGAGAGATGGGACGGGGGTGTCAACCTGCGCTTCCTATCAGCATGTGCTGAGAAAGTAAGACGAGTATACTTCCGGGGGGAAGAGCCGATCTACCTGGGGCCATTTCTTGACGTCTCAGGTTCGATCCGAAGAGGTGATCGTCCGGCTGAGTGGTCCACGCAGATCCATAGTCGAATAGTTCATCTGCGTCACCAAGCACAACACAAAAACCATCGCCACTATGCTCGTAGACCGTATGAGCAAACTGAATGTCATCCGCTCAGTAAGCTTCGCCCGCTACGTTCATCGAGCAATGCCAGATTCATCGCGACATCCTGCTGCATCACTTCCAAACCTTCCGATGGAACTCTTCCTTTGGGTTAACGACAATAATGGTGTATCCTCTTGCGACATCCGGTCTCTCCGCCTTAATTGCAAGGAGGTGGAACTGAAATGCCGCAACAGGTTCTATGACACCATCGACAAGTTTACTGTATTATTGCAGCTAGACGCTGGGTTTCCTGCTCGCGCACTGGCATTCGCAAAGTACCAGGAGTGAAGTGACAACATCACGTCTGTCCACCTCGAGGTCCCACGAAACAAGTTCTTCTACGCATCAGAACAGGCACATTGGAATGGAAGATGGGTTATGGACACCACAAAGGACAATTTCGCCGATATGTGACTGGAACTATAATTGGTTTGTCCATAGATCGCTCTACACGTGCAGACCCACTTAAATACAGCTGAACACAAGAGGATCAAGGGCGCATAGCTGTATCGTGGGGCTCTAGTATAGCGATGTTGCCACTCGTCTCAGTTGAAGGACTGTATTCTCTGGATGCTGAGATCTCTGCATTTCCAAGATCATCTCTATCCGACCGCGTTAGGCAGATGCTGACTAGAAGAAAGGTGTGTGCTTTCGTATTCTCGCATGCGATCTGCTTACTTATTTGTGGACCGAGCGCTCGAAGTCAGCTTCTTACACCTTGTTGACTAGGGTACAGAGTCTAATGAACTACAGCATGTGCGCGACGAGCCGAACACGTGGGGCTGCTCATTCTGCGAGTACAGTAGTTCTGACTACTCAAAGACTAGGTAGAGACTGCCCGCTCTACCGCATGCCGAGGTGACATTGGGACTTGCCATTCTCCACTAATCGTTAAGGTAGATCTACACGCCTCTTCCCTTACGTGCTCACCAGAATCTAGGCCGAGAATAAGATAATGTAGCCTGGCACTTTGGTTCAAGACATGTAGCGTGAATGTCGATCGAAGAAAGGATTTACCTTCCACTCTACTAATAGAAAGCTACAAACAGCGAAGTCGCATTCTATACGAGCACTCTGCGAAAATAACAGGACGATGTAGTCTGTCTTGATGGGATAGACATTCAAATTAGAGTCACGGCAGAGGCTGAAGGCGCTGCGGGTACCTAGGTGCTGGCTGCATGAAAGTGCTGGCTGCATGAGAGCCAAGATAACTAAGCAGCCCATCTTCTTTTGACCGCCTGGTGCTGGCAAATGGCTTCAATCAGTGGTCAGCCAGCATGTGCGGTCAACCTTACTGCGGCCGCTTTCGGTAGCAGATTCCCCAGCCACAACCGTTTCGGGGTAAGTAGCGCCTCCCCCGTAGGCCAATGTAAGACATACGATGTACTAGAGAAGAAGTTAGTAAGTGTCTGACCGGGCCAGCCCTAGTAATATAGCCATATTAACTGTCGTGTAACCTAGGGCGATCTTCACTACATTGATCCCGCCAAGGTGCTTGAGATCATCACGACAACGAATCATGATAGTAGTTCTATTCTGCGAATATCATATGCCGGTTGCTGCATGCACATAGTCATCGCCCAGAACATTGTCTTTGTGTCTCGACGTCCGGACACCTCCACCCCTTATGCGATCAGCTTACCACCACCGTCATTGCCAGTCGACAAACACCGTGTGCACCTCATGAATGTCAGTCAAGCTCTGCGGTGAGTAGTCGCTGAACGCTGAGTGGGCAGAATGACGGCCAGTTATGTGGTAATAGCCTCAGGAAGGCTCTCAACCCCGAGACAGTGATCCAGTTCGGGACAGTGATAACTTTGTGTGCGTCCGAGAGGACTGGAAGAGTTGACCGGTCAAATTCAGCGGTGATGTAGAAAGACAGAGGATGATGTGAGGACGAGAAAGTATAAAGGACGGCCAGAAGTCGACCTGAAAGAACTCACCAAGCTTCAACATCACAACATCATTACCTTCACTACATTACCAGCCTTTCGCTCAAAACCTCCTCAAACCATCAACATGCGTTTCTCCACCATCACCATCGCCGCCCTTGCTGGCCTCGCCGCCGCCGCTCCCAACGAGATCGCCAAGCGCGAGAGCCAACAGATGACCAGTGCCATTCAGTTCGCTGCCCAGCAAGCCGACTGCAGCATCTTCGACTGCGCTGCTGTTATCGGTGCCGCTTTCTGCATTGCAGGAGGTATTGCAACCGGACCCGCTGGCGTTGCCGCAGTCGTTGCCTGTGTTTCCGGTGGTGCTCCTTCGGTATTTCCTCCCATTGTCTTTCCAGTACCCACTCCCACTGACTTGACTTAGCTCTGCGGTTGCGCTGGGTGCGTCGATGCTCTCGGCGACTTCTTGACTGAGAACGGCCTTTGCCCCGAGTAAACGATGATAGCTGACATTCTGATACCTATTTCGGGTTGGGGAATGTACGAGGATGGAGTGTTCGGAGGGACATGGTCCATCAACATTAGACCTGCAGTGTCTGGTGTAGACTGGGATGACGGCTCTCACGAGCAACTTGCATGTATCTCCTTGGTGGTAGTTTAAACACACTCGCTCCTCAATGAAATCGCTGGCCAGCTCAAATATTGTCAGTGCCTTTGGTGCAGGAACCAGTGATGTGGTAGTAAGCCGACATTGTCACAAATCTTGCGATTAGCTCGTCTTGAATGGCCGAATGAGGGAAAAGATAAAAGATACTGAATGTTGGATGTGTATTGATCGTTTTTATGCTTTTTCATGCTTCGATAACGCGAATCTCTACATCTAATCGTCGTCCCCAGCCTACTCGCAACACCTGGTATACAGGTTTGTGCAGTGGTTTTAATCTAATGAAGTACAAAAGTTTCATTGTATGAGAACACGGTTGTGGACGTGGAATCGCTGCTTTTTTGACCTCGTCATGTCATTGATAGGCTGAACTCCGCCCTATGTTGATACAAATGTACAGACAGTCCCCTCATATGGGCGCATTATTTCTAACGGAACAGAAAGGGAAAGTCACCAATCGATTAACTTAGTTGCAGGTACCGAAAGTACCCTGGCAGCCAGCACCGCAGTGGCCGGTGGTGCTTCCGCACCAACCGTACTGGGAGCAGCAGTTTCCGAAAGAGGAGCCAGAGCATGTGAAGCCAGAGGTTCCAGCGCAGGATCCGTCAGTAGATGCCTTCTTGGTGGGCGCAGCAGCGGCCTTGCTGGTAGTAGTAGCGGCCTGCTTAGTGGCGGACGCTCCAGTGCCAGAGCAGGTACCGAAGGCAGAGTTGCAGCCAGTGGAGCAGTGGTCAGTAGTGCTTCCGCACCAGCCGTACTGGGAGCAGCAGTTACCGAAGGATGAGCCAGCGCAGGTGAAGCCAGACGCACCACCGCATGAGCCATCGGTGGAGACCTTGCCAGCAGCAGAGGCGACGGGAGCCTTGGAGGTAGTAGCCTTGGTAGGAGTAGCAGCCTTAGTGGTGGTGGTGGTAGGGGCAACACCGTTGCTGCCGCAGTTACCGAAGCCAGATTGGCAGCCAGTTCCGCAGTAGGCCGAAGTGGTACCGCAGTATCCGGCAGCGCTGCAGCAGTTGCCGAAGGTAGATCCCAAGCAGGTGTATCCCTTGGTACCACCGCAAGTAGCATCAGGGGTAACCTGCTTGGTTCCAGTGGCAGCGGGAGCACCGGCAGAAGTGGCGGGGTTGGGCGCGTTGCCAGAGCCGGCACCACCAGCAGTGCGGTACCAGTTCTCCTTGGGGTCACCAAGGCAGTCACCAACAGTAACAGCCTTGTATCCGAGCTGAGTGAGGGTGGAGAGCATGTACTCGGTCAGGTTCATGGCAGTCTGCTCATGGATATCGTGACCAATCTCGAGCCACTGGTTGCTGGCGGCGGGACCGCTGGTGACGTTGCCCAGGAAAACATCCTTGGAGTATTGGATGAGGGTGGTGCTGTCGTGTTCGTAATCATCCTGTTCCTAGTGTCAGCAATTGAACCCTTTCAAGAGATCAAGGAAGTGCATACGGTATCAAGGTTGAAGTATGTGACGTGGTAACCGAGGTCAGCCATGTCCTTCTCGCATCCTGACTCAGCAGTGCAGCTGGAGTATGGGGGACGCATGTAGGTGGGGATCTTGCCGACGATGTTGCGAAGAGCCATCTCGTTCTTGATCATCTGGTTGTAACGGTCCTGCTGGGAAACGGCGCTCAGGTCCAAGTGAGTCCAGGTGTGAGAAGCAAGCTGGTGGCCCTCAGAGTCCATGCGCTTGAGAACACTGCTGAACTCGGGAGTGATGTCAATCTGTCCCTTGTTGATGTTGTTTCCAGTGATGAAGAAAGTAGCCTTGGCGTTGTAGGAAGCCATGACATCGAGAATGTGGCTGGTGAAGACCTTTTGTGGGCCGTCGTCGTAGGTGATGGCAACTGTGCCGGGCGTGGTGCAGCCGTAGATACCAGCGCCACCGTACTCGACATTGCCGACCTTGGTACGGGCGATGGAAGAGGTGTTGGTGCCACCTGGGGTGGCGTTCTCGGGGCAGCCAGAGCCGTGCTCGTAATCGCATCCAGGAGAGTAGCAGTAGTCATCTTCTGTGCCACAGTAGCCAGCACCTGAGCAGCACTGGCCAGCGGGGCAGTTGCCGACACCCGC